GCTAAATTCATACTTCATATGAGTTTATGTAAAATTCTCCTATAAAACCGCCATTTTAAAATGATGACGTCAAAGACAATAATATTCTACATCAAATTCAAAGAAATTGATATTTTCGTTAATATCAAAAAATATTTGTATCCTTATTTCGGAAAAGGAAAAAAGCAAATAATTTACATTTTTTCTGGATTTTTATATCCTCCACCTTGGAAAGGAGGGCTTATTAACTTTGTCATTCCGTTTGTAACATCCCTAAATATTCATCGTAGACCCCATAAACTATATACAGTATTGCCCATATTCGACGGACCCATCTGGCAACGCCATAACTTTTGACAGAGATGTCATACTGGGCTACTGGTAGCGTAGCCCGACGTCAAGGAAGTGGACGAAAAAAAAAACCAGCAACATCAGCAGAAATGGTTCGAAAAGTAAAGAAACGACTTGATCGAAACCCGCGCCGCAGTGGCTCGTGAGCTGAACATATTCCATTCAGCAAATATTGAAAAATAAGCTCCGGGTAAAGCCATTGATATTCTGAAAAGTGCAAGAGCTTACACCACAACAGAAAGAAAATAGACTCAAAAGAGCTAAAGAGTTGCTTCGTTTTTCGAAAGTGGTGAACTGCCGAATTTGATTTTCTCCGATGAGAAAACATTCGTTGTCCAGCAGTTTGTAAACAAACAAAATGATCGTGTTTACTTGCCAAACAGGTCAGCCGAAAATGTGCACCTTCGGTTGGCCACCAGAACATAAGCGCCGGCCATGGTGATAGTGTGGGCAGCCATAACATCAGATGGTCGCTCTCCACTCGTATTAATCGACCGTGGCATCAGAATAAATCCGAATATTATCGCGAAAATATTCTGGAGGGTGTATCAAACATTTTGGCCGTAGACCTTAGACATTCCAACAGGACTCAGCACCATCGCACTCAGCACGCGCCACCCAAGAATGGTTACAACATGAGGTTCCTCGCTTCATTTCCAGCGCACAATGGTCACCAAAATATCCGGATACCAATCCGTTGGACTATTATGTCTGGAGTATTTTGGAAAGCAAGGTTGGCACTAATGGGCCGCCGAGATTGAGCTAAAATACCGCAGCTCAACATTCGGGCAGCGTGTGACGGTTTCATTGGCCGTTTGAAGGCCAAAGGTGACCAATTCTAAAATTTGATGCTATTTCCGACATTTTTTGCATTCATTCAATAAAATTAAAAAAGTAAAATTTTTGGCGTTTGAATTTGTTGCAATTTTTTTATCTCACCCTGTATTCATAGTCGGCATAAAATTCTAAGTCGATTTAACGATGTTAGTCTGTCTGTAGTTGACGTAGAGCGTAAAAATTTAGCAGAACAATTTGTATTGTGTCTAGGGTGGTTGGTATTGAAAATGAGATATATCGGTCCACGTTTTGGTATAGTCCCCATATAATGGTGCCACTCGATATTCGGTATTTTGTTGATTTTTGCCACATTTTTTCACGGATTTATCTAAAAATTGGTATTTGTAGGTCATAATGGGTTCCAGCTCGTATGCCGAAACATTGTACGTATTGGTCCACGTTTTGGTATAGCCCACATACGAGGGTACCGATATTCGGCATTTTGATGATTTTTGCACACATTTTTTCACGGATTTGTCTAAAAAATGAAATTTGTTGGCCAAGATGGGTTCTACCTCCGGTGACGAAACATTGTATCTATAGGCCCACGTTTTTATATAGCCCCCATATTACGGTACCTCCCAATATTCGGTATTTTGATGATTTTGCCACATTTTTTTACGTATTTCTAGGTCCGGTGGCAAAAGTCCACATTCTGGTATAGCCCTCATAAAACGGAACGTCCCGATACTCGGTATTTTGAAGATTTTTGCCACATTTTTTCATGGATTTGTCTAAAATTTGGTATTTGTAGGTCATAATGGGTTCTAGCTCGTGTGGCGAAACATTGTATGTGTAGGTCCACGTTTTGGGTATAGGCCCCATATAACGGTACCTGCCGATATTCGATAATTTGATAAAAATTGGTATTTTTAGTTCATAATGGTGGCAGAACATTGAATATTTAGTTCCACGTTTTCCTATAGCGCACATATAACGATACCCACCGATATTCATTATTTTGATAATCCTAGTCACATTTACCCATATAATTGTTTCAAATTTAATATTTTAGAAGATTTGATAGATTAAAGCCCTTGAAGTATAAATTTGTCTATTGAGGTTCCCGTTTTGGTATGGTCCCATATAACGGCCTCACTCACATTATGGCTTTTGATAAATTTAACTGCATTATGCAAAAGGTCGTACTGGTATATGAAGTTCAAAGTGAAACATGGAGAAGGAAGCGAGATAGACCAATAGTTACTTTGAGGATCTCCATAGAATCACTTTCTGAGTTGATTTATGCATGTCAGTCTGTCTGTCCGTCCGTCCGTCCGTCCGTCTGTCCATGTATTCTTGTGAACAAAATGCAGGTCGCATTTATTATCCGAATGAGATGAAATTTTCCAAACAACATTTGTTTGGCCCAAGGATGAACCCTATTGAAATTGGAGATAATCGGTCAAAAATTAGATATAGCTCCCATATATATCTTCGTCCGATTTGCCTTTTATTGTCCACCAAACGTGTAATATCAGCCCGAATAGCATGGAATTTTGCACATGCAACCAAATTAGGCCTGAAAATAAGTATGCCAAATTTGATCGAAATCGGTTCAGATATAGCTATAGCTCCCATATATATTGTTCATCCGATTTGTTAATTTTATCCTCCGCAGCCGTAATATGCACTCCGTAACAACAATATTTGGGAAAATTTATCAAATGCAGCTCAGAAATACCTTTGCTAAATTTTATCGAGATCGGTTCAGATTTGGATATTGCTCCCATAAATAACTTTGTCCGATTTACCTTTTATTGTATACCAGACGTCTAATATTTGCCCAAATGAGATAGAATTTGGCACATACGACCTAATTGAGTCTAGAAGCTAGTATGCCAAATTTTATGAAGATTATAGATATAGCTCCCATATATACTGTTCATCCGATTTGTCATATTTGTTACCTACAGCCGTAATATGCACTCCGTAACGACGATATTCAGGGAAATATTTCAAATACAGCTCAGAAATATCTTTGCCAAATTCTATCAAGATCGGTTCAGATTTGGATATAGCTCCCATATATATCTTTATCTGATTTCAAATTAATTTTGCACCAAATGGGCAATAAAAGTCCGAATTTTAAAAGATACAAATGCTTCGGCATATTTAGTCCTTTGAACTTTAAATTATAATTATAATCATAGCGTGTATGATTGAATTCTCCCATAAAAACTTTTAATTGTTATGCGCAACTCTACTAAATTAGCAAAGTGGTGTAGGGTATCATAAAGTCGGCCCCGCCCGTCTTTAAGACTTCAAGAATATTTTTTGAGGAACGTTTGGATTCGTAGAAAAATTTCTATTTTCTTTCAGCTCGACTAGTCTAATTTTTAAGGAGGAATTCCAGCCTTTCCAGAACAGTTGATAAATATCGATTTAAAAGTATTTTTGTGCGTTTCTAAATTTTGATAAAACAAAGTAACACATCTAGACATCCAAAAAACATAACGGAACGGAAAAAACACATCGAAAATAATGCTCGAAAGGAAAAAGGAACCCATAATAACAAAAATAAAATCAAAACAAACCAACGTTATTTTATGATGGATGGATGGATAGATGGATAGGCATCAGACCAAACAGCCAAAAAGGGGGTCACACTAACACCAACATTCATAGATAGTCCATGGCTAGACACACAGAGGCGGACAGACAGACAGACACTTATTGACTATTTACACACATCAAAATATGAACACAAACAAAAAAAAAAAAAAACAAAGAAAAAACGGGGTTTATTAAGGACATTTAGTATGAATGAACAAACAAACCATGACACACACACACATACAAACAAACATAACACAACATAAATGAGTTTGAGTGTGAAATGGTTCGTAGTTGTTATGAATTCGTGTGAATATTTAGGTGTATAGGTGCAAGAGAAATTTTAAGAGTGTAAGAGAAGAGAGAGAGGAAACGAAAATAACAAAAATATGAGAAAAAACGGAAACAAATACACCAAAAAAGGTTTAGTTTTTGTTATTGTTGTTAGAGGGCACACACAAGAACCAAATACAAAACATCCATACACAACAAACCGAAATTGATGAGGGGGGAAAAAGAAGAAGTAGAAGAAGAGAAGGAAAAATGTACAACAACAACAACATCAAGGAATAATAACATTAAAAAAACAACACACAGAGAGATTTGTTAGTAAGTAGGTTTGTTGTATTTGTTAGTAGTAGTAGTAGTGGTGGTTGTAGTAGTAGTTGTTGTTGAATTTTGGTAATTACTTAGTTAACGGATACAAGTTGGGTTTCCGAATATTCGTTTGGGGTTTTTTTGATTTGGTTTGGCTCTTTTTGTTCTTTGTGTACGTTCACTTCGTACAGCAGAAAACAGACAGCGTGCAGGGAGACACATACACACACACACACACCGTGAGGGAGATAGATAGAAGGGAAACCCCAATGGAGAAATGGAAATCAATTTGTTTGTCTGTTAGCTTTGAGCCTGTGATGGGCGGTGGATAGCCTTTGTGGGATTTTGTTTCTGTTTAGTTTCGATTGAAAAAACCCAATTTGGCTAAATGGAAATGCTGATCAGATCCTTGTTTCTTTCTCGGTTCTGTACCCTTTTGGTCCAAAAAATATGCGGAATTTCGACGTTTTATGTTTTTCTTTTTTGTTTGCGTTCTGACGTTGTTAAAATGCAAGGAAAATGATTGGCTTTTAGCTTTTGGATGTTGTTAGTCGGTGGTTTTGTGATTTTTTTTTTTTTTGATCTGAGATTGGTTAGCTTGTGGCATGGCATGGCGGGGCAAATTAGTTCATTTGAGGGAGATAGAAAGTTTCTTTCGTATTTGCTTAAAAAACTGATACCACGTATAAGTTCAGCACCTGTCCTGAGGATGAGGTTTGGAGGTAGGAATTAACGTCCGTCTCGATCATACAGCTACGCAGTGAATCAGGTATAAACATGCCTTGTCAAAACAGGCTCTTTGAATGTGGCTCGTTGTTTTTGTTATAGTAGATGGATGTTGTTGCTCTAGTTGATGGTGATGGTTGTTTGTTGTCTTTTGTAGTGGTGATTTTCTCTTATCCTTGTTTAATTTTTTAGTTGTTGTTTTATTTTAATTATCCTTGGAAGACGTTAAGATTTATTTCATGTTGAGCTTTATTTTTCATTGTTTCAATGAGTGTGTGCAGTGCTGGCTGGAACAATTTTTCGTAAGTTTTGAAGACACTGATTTTTTTTTTCTGCAAAGAAACCAAAGTTAATCGTTAATTAATGAATTGAAGGAAATTGGTAGAGGAATAAGTAAATATGATAAATTTAGATCGAGTAAGTTTTGTTTGTAATATTAGCTCACCGTTCGTTGTAATTTGATAGTATCGAAATATCAGAATACAATTTCACCATGAGTGGAAAACAAAAGACCGCCTTTAATAACCCATAACATTCAGAACATTTAGCACGGATGGTTTCCGTTACAAATTGTCGTGAAGACTAACAAGTGAGTTGAAGTATTGCAATACCCGAAGTTTGAAGAAATGTGAGAGTTATTACATTTCAAAATGTTGTGGCGGACGTATGTGAAAGAGTGGACCGCTACGAAATAGAGGGGGCAAATTCACTCTTGGAATCCGAGCATTTTAGGTGGAATGTTTTAACCCTCATGCGAGTCAAGAAAGGTGCCTCAATTTAAACGGGATCGTAGCATATTAAAATATTCTACAAAATTACTTGTCATAACATTCAACTATGGGTCCTAGAAGACGTCAAGCCACTCGTCCAAAAGCTGTTAAAATTATTCCAGTGACAGCTCATTATATTGTTTACAAGCGTACAAAAGCATTTTGGTGAGAATTTTCCAAAAAAAAAGGTTATTCGTGAATTCAAGCGTAATAGTGTGATTTCTTTATACAGTTGCCCATATTCGACGGACCAATCTGGCAACGCCATAACTTTTGACAGAGATGTCACATCGCTTAATGGCATACCGCGTTTGAAGCGTCAGTCCAGCAGATTTTTACCATGAACCAATACACGCCACGCGAGCGCTCTGAAATAGTTGAAATTTACAGAAGAAGTCAATTGTGAAAACTCAACGTGCTTTTAAAACATTAAAAAATGTCTAAGAACACCATTAAGCGTTTGTACGAAAAATTTTCGACTGGTAAGGCTCTTTCTAATCCGAAGAGGCCATATAAAAGTCGATCAAGGCGATCGGCTGAGAATATCGCTGCCGTACGAGCCAGTGTTGAGAGGTCCCCAAGAACATTCCAAAAAACGCCGTTCTCAGCAGTTGGGCATGGCTCGGTCCACTTTACAACGGATTATTCGCATTGATTTGCATTTGTTCCCGTACAAATTTCAATTGACGCAAAGAATGTTGCATGCGGACAAGCCTCGTCGATTGGAATGGGCCCAAAGAGTCATCGGGTCCGTCGAATATGGGCAACCCTGTATTTGGCTGGAAAACGACAAGTGGCTATCGTTAGAGCACTCCAGCATTTAAATGTGAAGAAAGTGGACTTCAAGGAAGTGGACGGAAGAAAACAACATCATCAGCAGAAATGATTCAAAAGTAAAGAAGTGACGTGATCGAAACCAGGTCGCAGTGGCCAAAATGGCTCGTGAGCTGAACTTATCGCAATATTCCATTCGGCAAATATTGAAAAATGAGTTCGGGGTAAAGCCATTGATATTCTGAAAAGTTCAAGAACTTACACCGCAACAGAAATAAAATAGACTTAAAAGATCTAAAGAGATTTTTTTGGTTTCCTCCGATGAGAAAACATTCGTTGTCCAGCAGTTTGTAAACAAACAAAATGATCGTGTTTACTTGCCGAAGAGGTCAGATGAAAATGTGCACCTTCGGTTGGCCACCAAACTCAAGCGCCGGCCATGGTGATGATGTGGGCGGCCATAACAACCGATGGTCTCTCTCCGCTCGAATTAATCGACCCTGGCATCAGAAAAAATGCCGAATATTGTAGCGAAAATATTCTGGAGGGTGTATTAAAGCCTTGGGCACGCAAACATTTTGGCCGCAGACCTTGAACAATCCAACAGAACTCAGCACCATTGCACTCAGCACGAGCCACCCAAGCGCTTCGCCCGGAATGGGTCAAAATACCGCAGAGAAACATTCGGGCAGCGTGTGACGGTTTCATTGGCCGTTTGAAGGCCATAATTCGTGCCAAATTTGACAAATTCGAACAATTCGACAAATCATGTCAGACCCAACAAAGTATATATATTCTTGATAAGCGTAAAATTCTAAGACGATTTAGCCCTGTCCGTCCGTCTGTCCGTCTGTTGTAATCACGCTACAGTCTACACGAATTAAGATAGAAAGCTAAAATTTTGCACAGATCTCTCTTTTGTCTGCAGGCAGGTCAAGTTCGAAGATCGGTCCACGATATCCTATAGCCCCCATATAACGGTACCCTCCGATATTTGGTATTTTGAAGATGTTAGCCACATTTTTTAATGGAAGTGTCTGAAAATTCACACAAGTAGTTCCTTGTGAATACTTTACCCCCTGAGAGAGAATTGTCTATATATCGTATGTCCACGATATCGTATAGCCCCCATATAACGGTACCCCCCGATATTCAGTATTTTGACGATTTTAGCCACATTTTTCAATGGAAGTGTCTGAAATTCCACAAAAGGAGTCCCTTGTGAGTATTCTACCCTCTGAAAAAGAATTGTCTATATAGGTCCACGATATCGTATATCCCCCATATAACTGAACCCCCCGATATTCGGTGTTTTGATGATGTTAGCCACATTTTTCAAAGGAATTGTCTGAAAATCCATACACGGAGTTCCTTATGGGTACTTTATGCCTCGGAAGAGAATTATCTATATCGGTCCACGATATCGTATATCCCCAATATAACGTTACCCCCGATATTCGTTATTTTGATAACTTTACCCACATTTTTCAACGGAATTGTCTGAAAATCTACACAAGGGGTCCCTTGTGGGTACTTTATACCTCGGCAGAGAATTATCTATATAGGTCCACGATATCGTATAGCACCCATATAACGGTACGCCTTAATATTCGGTATTTTGATGATTTTGGCCACATTTTCAAATTGTATTGTCTGAAAATCCACACAAGGAGTTCTTTGTGAGCACTTTACCCCCTGAAAGGGAATTGTCTATATAGGTCCGTAATATCGTATATCACCCATATAACGATACCCCCCGATATTCAGTAGTTTGGCGATTTTAGCCACTTTTTCCAATGGAATTATCTGAAAATCCACACAAGGAGTTCCTTGTGAGTTCTTTACACCCAGACATAGATTTGTCTTAATAGGTTCACAATATAATATATACCCCCATATAACGGCTCCTTCCTATATTAGATATTGTAAAGATTTGAAATAAAATTTAATGGATTTTATTTTTTTGAAAATTTTCTAATTCGTTCCAAATGGTGGAGGGTATTCAAAGTTTGGCCCGGCCGAACTTATTGCTTTTTTACTTTTTTATCTCAGCCTGTATATACTTTGTTATTTCTAAAGTTATTATTTCGATGAGTTACGAACGGAATGACGAACATAATATACCCTCCATACTATGTATGGTGGGGTATAAAATAACAGGTGTTACAGTTATATGGGGCTGCTAATGATCTATCAGAGAAGGTTGTGACTATTACAAACTACAAATACCAAGTTCGAGATAATTCGGTTGAAAATGTGGACAAAATCCCTGAAATTTACCTGAGTTTCTGTTCATGATACTTACCAAAAAAACCAGAGAATTTCAACGTCAATGCAAAAACGGAAGAACACAGAAGTTGACAGGAAGTTGAAGAAATCGCTCGCTAGTTTTCATGGATTCATTGAAGTTTTGATGATAATGATGATGTCAAAAGATGTTGGTAGAATCACACGCAAGCAGTGTGTTTGTATGTGTAAACGAGTGATTGTAAATTGTTTTTTCATCTGATGTTATCCTCTTAAGCTGGCAACCAAAATGGCAATTTTCCTGGGTTGAAAGATTCGAAATTAGGTGGCAACATCATTGGCATCAACAACACTCTCATCAGCTTTAATGGGCATTCGTCTGGTGGTGGTCTATGACTGTTGGCTTTTCTTTTTGTTGTTGTTACTGTTCTCCTAGTCGCTATTATTTCGGCAGCTGCTTGGTGTGGTTGTTGTTGTTTGCTTTGCTCTCCTTCTTTGCTATATTTCTTTGAAACTTTTTGCATAAGTATTTGTTTACATGCGAGCATGTATGTAGTATGTGTGTGTGAGTGAGTGAAGATTGTGAAGATGTATTTGTTGATTTATATTTGTTTTGATTATTGCAATTGTTGTAGTTGTTGTAGTTATCTTTTGCCCGCTGCAGTTGTTATTATTTTTTGTTATTATATTGGTTTTTATTGTTGTTGTGTTTTTTCAGCCATTTTTTTTATAGGAACTCAACGAATATCGAACATTTTGCTTTGTTATTTTCTTTTTGTTGTTATTATTATTATTATTTTGGGTTTTCAGCTATTGTTGTTAATAAAAAATATAAATTGTTGTTATTGTCTTTTATTTTCATTAGCTGTTGCAGAAATGAAAGTAGAAAAGAAATGAAAATGACAATTTTGATTTCAAAACGATTTATTTACACACACAGTTGCATTTATTTATCTCAGCATTGGTTTGTTTTTTATTTATTAACGTTTAATAGTTTCTTTTAATTTATTGTTTTTGTATTTGCTTATTTCACGAGACCCTTTTGGAAGTGGTGGTTTTGACTAGAGTAAAATTTGTAAATTGTCAATTGTTATACCCTCCACCTTGGAAAGGAGGGTATATTAACTTTGTCATTCCGTTTGTAACATCCTTAAATATTCGTCGTAGACCCCATAAAGTATATATATTCATAATCAGCATAAAATTCTAAGTCGATTTAACTATGACCGTCTGTCTGTCTGTCCGTCTGTCTGTTGAAATCACGATACAGCCCACATTATTTGACGTAGAGCGCCAAAATTTAGCAGAGCAATTTGTATTGTGTTTAGGATAGTTGGTTTTGAAAATGAGATATATCGGTCCACGTTCTGGTATAGTCCCCATATAACGGTACCTCCCGATGTTCGGTATTTTGATGACTTATGCCACATTTTTTCACGGATTTGTCTGAAAATTGGTATTTGTAGGCCATAACGGGTCCCTGTACGTGTCGCAAAACATTCCATGTATAGGTCCACGTTTTGCTATAGCCCTCATATAAAGGTACCTCCCGATATTCGGTATTTTGATGATTTATGCCACATTTTTTCACGGATTTGTCTGAAAATTGGTATTTGTTGGTCATAATGGGTTCCACCTTCGGTGACGAAACATTGCATGTATGGGTCCATGATTTGGTATAGCCCCCATATAACGGTACCCTCCGATATTCGGTATTTTGAAGATGTTAGCCACATTTTTCAATGGAATTGTCCGAAAATTCACACAAGGAGTTCCTTGTGGGTACTTTATATCTCAGCAGAGAATTATCTATATAGGTACACGATGTCGTATATCACCCATATAACTATACCCCCGATATTCGGTATTTTGATGATTTTACCCACATTTTTTAACAGAAATTGTACACAAGGGTTTTTTTGTGAGCACTTTACCCCCCGACAGAGAATTATTTATATGTTAATGATATCGTATAGCACCCATATAACGGTACCCCCGATATTCGGTATTTTGATGATTTTAGCCGCATTTTCAAGGAGTTCTTTTTGAGCAATTTACCCCCTGAAAGGGAATTGTCTATATAGGTCCACAATATCGTATATCCCCCATATAACGGTACCCCCCGATATTGAGTAGTTTGATGATTTTAGCCACTTTTTCCAATGGAATTATCTGAAAATCCATACAAGGAGTTCCTTGAGAGTACTTTACACCCAGACATAGATTTGTCTTAATAGGTCCACAATATCATATATACCCCCATATATCGACACCTTCCTATATTAGATATTGTAAAGATTAAAAAAAAAATTAATGGATTTTATTTTTTTGAAAATTTTCTAATTCGTTCCAAATGGCGGAGGGTATTCACTGCTTTTTTACTTCTTTAAAAATATTTTTGTCGCTAAAATAACTATTAGCAAAGTAATAGAATCCCGGCTAAGGGTATTTACGAGTGAAAGTGTATCGATATTGGCTTTTTGGTCGAAATAGAAATATTACGATGTGACAAGTTTTGACTTTTTTGGTATCCGCTTCTTTTTACATGAGATATACGTTTTTTGTGGGCTACACCGAATCTTATATTGACATGGACGAATACTAGAGAAGATCAAATAACCATGGCAAATTTGGAGTTTAGCTAACATAAAATTGTGGTACAATAAGGAGGAGGACTTAGGCTATGCCCGCTTCCTGTCAGAATTATTTAAAATTGGATACAATTTGCTATTTGATATTTTTCCAAATTTTTAAAATGAATTTAAAGCCCCAAAGATGAATGATAAGCCTGGATTTTCTTTCAAAAATCTGATCGAAACTTCTTTCATGTTTTATAATCATGGCAAAACTGGGTAATATCTTTAATGCTCGTCCAGTAATGTATGTTACTTCCACACAAAAGGCAGTTGGTAACCTAGAATGTTGAATCCTTGCTTGATTGAGTGGACCGTACCTGACTGAGTCTGATACAATTATGGCGATGTGTAAAGTTTCAACTACATCGCAAGCACACTGCAGCCAGCCAACATTTTATAATTTCCGAATCTTTGCGGTGCAAATATTGAAAGCCACGTCCGAAATATCTTTCATGTTTGTTATACCCTCTCCCTTACTATGGAGGATATATTAACTTTGTTATTCCGCTTGTAACTCCTCGAAATAATCATGTTAGACCCATCAAAGTATATATATACAACGATTTCCCTTGGTCTGTCTGTCTGTTGTAATCACACAATCTTTCCAATGAATTCAGATAGAAGGCTAAAATTTTCAACACATGTGTATTTTGTCAGTAGACAGCATGGTACAATGAATTCAAGGTAGGGCAGAACTACCATATGATTTAATTTTTTTTTATTTTTCTGGCTTAATATGTCAACTTCATTTGCTTATGTGTGTGTCTTCTTTTCAATAATAAAAATATTGTTCAGAAAATATTCAAATTCGGGTGTTTTCAAAATGCTTATTGCAACGAATGCATCGACAAAATCTACAGTTTTTGTCGCGAAATAAACCATAAGAGATATATAGAACATGATATTGAAAAGAAATTTTGACCATTCATTCAGTTTTCGCGGTTTTAAATTATTTATTCAAAACCAATGCAACAAGTTGTTTGCTTTTTTATTGTTTTGATAGTAATTCTGACATTACAAGCCAAACAGGTAGACCTCTATACTTGCAATTTTTTCAAAGTTGACCTACCTTCTCTTCATTGTACCATGTATTCAAATATATCTAAAATCATCAAAATACCGCATATAGGGAGGTACCATTATATGGGGGCTATACCAAAACGTGGACCTGCACAGACAATTTTTTTCCATTATAGCCCCCATATAATGGTATCTCCCGCGGTGGGAGATACCATTATATGGGGGCTATACGAAGACCTGTGCAGGCAGGTTTCCGTCACATACTGAGGTGTTCATTACGAATTTTAAATACAAAATTTGAAACAATTCCGGTGAATAATGTCGCTTATTTCACCAAAATACCGAAAATAGGGAGGTACCATTATATGGTGGGCTATACCAAACGTGGACTTACATGGTCCTGCAGACATAATATGTATTTGAGTAAAATTTTATCAACCTAATTCATTTTGTTCGGAAGCTAGAGTGATTTCCACAGACGGACGGATATCGCCATAGACGCTAAATAGATATAGAATTTTATGTTGATCAAGAATATATATACTTTGTGGGGTCTAAAGTGTATATTTCAAGGTGTTATAAACGGAATGACAAACTTAAACTATGGTGGAGGGTATAAAAACAACAGGTACCGTTATATGGGTGTTATACCTAAATGTGGAAATGGAGTACGTGAATCATCTATGCTAAATTTCATTCATTAATTGTATACTCGTACTTAATTTGGATGTTGCAAATGGAAAAACCAAGTTAATATACCCTTCATCTTATGATGGAAAGAATAGTAATGCAGTTTTTTTTGATTGCAGGTTCTGAAGGCTCTGCTTTTTTTCATAATGGAGGTGCAAAAGGCACTTCAAGCTGTGCTCATTTGTACAGGGTTGCCCATATTCGACGGACCCATCTGGCAACGCCATAACTTTTGACAGAGATGTCACATCGCTTAATGACATACCGCGTTTGAAGCGTCAGTCCAAGCAGATTTTTACCCATGGTAGAAGAATATAGGTAGACGCATCGACACAGCTGCTGGGACAATGAACTGTCAAACCAATTTTGGAATTGAAAATGTTGAATGAAAAATTATTTAAATTTGCAAATATTGTTGAAAAACACGAATTATAATAACCTCCGAATGACGTCGTATAAGAAAACATATTAAAATCTACTTATATTTTAAAGGACATTTAAATTTTTTTTGACATATCAATGCTCCCAAGCGTTGATGCATCTACCTGTATTCTTCTGCCATGTTTTTATCATGAACCAATACACGCCACGCGAGCGCGCTGAAATTTACATTCAACAGAAGAAGTCAATTGTGAAAACTCAACGTGCTTTTAAAACATTAAAAAATGTGAGAAGTGCGCCTTCTAAGAACACCATTAAGCGTTTATACGAAAAATTTTCGACTGGTAAGGCTCTTTCTAATCCGAAGAGGCCATATAAAAGTCGACCAAGGCGATCGGCCGAGGATATCGCTGCCGTACGAGCCAGTGTTGAGAGGTCCCCAATAACATCCCAAAAACGCCGTTCTCAGCAGTTGGGCATGGCTCGGTCCACTTTACAACGGATTATTCGCATTGATTTTCATTTGTTCCCGTACAAAATTCAATTGACGCAAAGAATGTTGCCTGCGGACAAGCCTCGTCGATTGGAATGGGCCCAAAGAGTCATCGAAATGGCCGAAGATGACGAGCAATTTTGGAACAAAATTATCATGTCCGATGAAGCCCATTTCACATTGAATGGGACCGTAAATAAGCAAAATTGCCGTTTTTACGCCACTAAAAATCCTCAGGGGATTCAAGAAGTACCTCTTCATGACGAAAAAGTCACAGTTTGGTGCGGCGTTAGTGCGAAAACGGTCATTGGGCCGCTTTTCTTCCAAAATGAAAATGGCCATGCTGTTACCATCAATCAGGAGCGTTATCGCGACATGATCAATTTTGTGATGCCAATTATTCGTATGAGGCAGTTCTAGTTTCAACGAGACGGCGCTCCACGAAGAATTTGTTTGCGGGCCATTTGATGTCGAAAAGTGGTGATTTGGACTGGCCACCGCGTTCGCCCGAATTTATGCCGCCTGACTTCTTTTTGTGGGGATATTTGAAGTCTAAGGTTTACGTTAACAAGCCAAGGACCGTAGAAGAGCTCAAGGACAACATTCGTGAAGAAATAGCCGCTATTCCGGCCGAAATGTTGGCAAAAACGATGGAAAATACAGCAAAAAGGGCACAATACGTCATCAACGCCAGAGGCGGCCATTTGAAAGATATCATATTCAAAAATTGGTGTAAACAAATCTACTAGGAACAAATTAAATGATTAACATTGCCAACCGCCAAATTTTTATTTTTTCTTAGATTTAAAAAAAAAACACATGGGTATGTCGAATATGGGCAACCCTGTACCTATCTATTTTCGGTATCTTGGTGACTTTAGCGACATTATTCACCGGAATTGTTTCAAGTTTGGTATTTGAAGTTTGTAGTGGATACTACTGCCTATGACAGAAAATTGTCTGGGCAGGTCCACGTCTTCGTGTAGTCCTCATATAACGGTACCTCCCGATATTCGGTATTTTGATGATTTTAGCTACATTATAAACAGAATTTTTTTGCAGTTTCGCATTTGAATATTGAAATAGCTTATGGCAAAAGTTGCCTATGCTGGTCCACGTTGTCGTATGGACCCTAATATAAGGGCTACATTCTATATTTTTAAGATTTTAACAGATTTTTTAAGATTTTAAGAATTTTTAAGGGATTTTATTATTTTTTTAAGTTGACAAATTAATCCAATTGTTGGAGGATATTCAAAGTTCGGCCCTTTTTATACCCTCCACCATACACTCATCGAAATAATCATTTTAGACCGAACAAAGTATATATATTCTTGATCAGCGTAAAATTCTAAGACGATTTAGCGCTGTCCGTCTGTTGTAATCACGCTACAGTCTAAACGAATTAAGATAGGAAGCTAAAATTTTGCACAGATCTCTCTTTTGTCTGCAGGCAGGTCAAGTTCGAAGATGGGCTATATCGGTCCACGATATCGTATATCCCCCATATAACGGTAACCTCCGATATTCGGTATTTTGAAGATGTTAGCCACATTTTTCAATGGAATTGTCTGAGAGAGAATTGTCTATATAGGTCCATATCGTATAGCCCCCATATAATGGTACCCCCCGATATTCGGTATTTTGATGATTTTACCCACATTTTTCATCGGAATTGTCTGAAAATCAACACAAGGAGTTCCATGTGGGTACTTTATACCTCAGCACAGAATTATCTGTATAGGTCCACGATATCGTATATCCCCCCATATAACTGTACCCCCGATATTCGGTATTTTGACGATTTTACTCAAATTTTTCAACGGAATTGTCTGAAACTCCACACAAGGAGTTCCTTGAGAATTCTTTATATAGGTTAATGATATCGTATAGCACCCATATAACAGTACCCCCGATATTCGGTATTTTGATGATTTTAGCCACATTTTCAAATCGTATTGTCTGAAAATCCACACAAGTAGTTTTTTGTGAGCACTTAACCCCCTGAAAGGGAATTGTCTATATAGGTCCGCAATATCGTATATCCCCCATATAACTGTACCCCCGATATTCAGTAGTTTGATGATTTTAGCCACGTTTTCCAATGGAATTATCTGAAAATCCACACAACGAGTTCCTTGTGAGTACTTTACACCCAGACATAGATTTGTCTTAATAGGTCCACAATATCATACCTTCCTATATAAGACATTGTAAAGATTTAAAAAAAATTTAATGGATTTTATTTTTTTGAAAATGTTCTACTTCGTTCCAAATGATGGAGGGTATTTAAAGTTCGGCCCGACCGAACTTACTGCTTTTTTACTTGTTTGCATTCAATCTTCTTCGAATGTGTTCTTTTGCTGTGTAATTTAATCTAAAGTTCTTCTGCTTCAGAAATGAAAAAAGTATTTAACTGCATTATCCTTTGAAATCCAAATACAAATTTTTACAGACATTTGACAAATTTGACAAATTTTTACAGACTTGAGACATATATATTTTTAAACCGTTATAGTGTTGTGATGGGCGGTGCATCCATCTTTTGGTCTATGCCACAAGGTGCATCACATATTGGGAGTAGTAGGAAGTAAGCATTTTGCAGATGTCATAAATCTCAAAACTAAGTAAAAAAGTCAGCATGAAATTAGCATTGTATATGGATAATTAAATTTGAATAATTATTAATTTTTTCACAATTTTTTTTGTTTTAATTTTAATGTAGAAATTTTCTTTATTATCTATATATATGTATGCATGTATTTCAGCATTTATTGATTTTTCTTTCACAGACACTGTAAATCACTGTCAACTTCATTTTTCTTTTGCCACACTTGTTCACTTCACTTGGCCGACAGGAAAAAACGGCATTTTGTTTGTGATTTTGGAAAACTTCGTTTTTTTGTAGAATTGATTTTTTATATATTTTTTTGTCTGAAAGGGATATTTTTCGATTTGTTGAAAATTATTTAGAATTTTTGTTACACAATTTTTTGTTTTCTGATTCGGAACGAGACGAGCAGCAGCAATAAGAGACAAGACAAGGCAGACAGACAGACAAACAGACGACAGGCAGGCAGGCAGGCAGAAAGAAGGAAAAAAGAAAATTCGTTCTTCTTCGTCTGTGCGATTTATTTTTGTTTTCGTTTTGTGTGATTTTTCCCGTTTGCGTCCGTTAGTTCGGTGCGCTTTTGACGTGCGAGTGAGTGAGTGTGAGCAGCGTGAGCACGACGAGTGGCAGCAATTCGCTCGGCAATGTTTTCGTTTCCTCTACATTATATAAATAACTTTTTTTCGTGGTCTATACTACTGTGCACGGCTATGGAGGAGGTGGACGGACAGGCACAGACAGCTATGGATTAACATACATATTTACATACATATACAACATATATGTACACAAATACATAAGTATTGAAACGAGACAATTTTTTGGTGTGGGACTCTTTAAACATTTTCATAATATTTATTATAGATTTTGTTGCGTTTTTTTACAATATTTTTTTTAATCGCACTTTCACTTCATTGGGATTTTTTATTATTTTGAGTTTTTTATTGGTTTTCATTATTTTTTCACTTTTGTATTTCCATTGATTTTATTCAATTTCTTATCAACTTATTTGGGGGAAAATTTGTTATATGACCACTAATTTCCACCTTTTTCACTGGGAAAAATCAAACGAAAATCGAATGCTATTTACACAGAAATTGAATATTCTTTTATTTTTTCTTAAATTAATTTTTTTTTATTTTAGTCTGAGCAGACGAGACGTGCGATACCAGACCAGAGCCAGACAAGACAAGACGAAACGTTTTTCCTCACTCACCATTTAATGCGTTATGGCTAAAATGGTTGGTTGTTGTGTTCTGCAGGCAGGCAGGCACTCAGCCAGCCATCATTGACTTGGCTGTTCTCTCTTCGGGAAAAAAGTTCTGTGTCGTTCATTCATTTGGTTGGGGGAAAATCGGCAAATGGCTTTGCATTTTCTGTCCTACTGTTCAGTGTGGTAAGCGTTGCCACCTAATGACGTGGGGGAAATGTTGTAGGGAAATTGAAAAGAAATGAGTTGGAAAAAATAATTAGCTCTTCAAAGCAAGTTCATACATCAGAGTAAAGGATGAACTTATAAGTTTTTAGAGGAGACATAAAATTTTGATAAAATTCAATAAATATTTAAACAAGTAAAAAAGCAGTAGGTTCGGCCGGGCTGAACTTTATTGGAAATTTTCGAAAAAGATAACATTCGACAAAAATTCTGATAACATCTTAAAAATACCACATTGTTTGTCGAAAGCCATTACCATATTCAAATATTCAAAATTGGAAACTTGAAATAAACCGTGAATAATGTAGCTAGAATCATCAAATTGCTGTACATAGGGAGGTACCGTTATATCGGAGCTATACGAAGACCAGGACCTGCATAGATAATTTTCTGTCACAGACTGTAGTTCCCATTACGAACTCTAAATGCGTAATTTGAAACTACGGTGAATAATGACGCTTAAATCATCAAAATACCGAATATTGGGAGGTACCGTTATATGGGGGCTTACGAAGACGTGGACTGCATAGACAATTTTCTGCCTTAGGCTATAGTATTCATTACGAACTTCAAACACAAAGTTTGAAACAATTCCGGTGAATAATGTCGCTAAAATCATCAACATACCGAATATAGAGAGGTACTGTTATGTGGGGGCTATACGAAGACGTGGACCTGCACACACAATTTTATGTCCTAGGCTGTAGTATTCATTTCGAACTTCAAATGCCAAATTTGAAACGATTCCGGTGTTGCTAAATGTCGCTAAAATGATCAAAATACCGAATATCGAGAGGTTCCGTTATATGGGGGCTATACGAAAACGTGGACCTTCACAGATAGTTTTCTGTCTTATGTTGTAGTATCCATTTCGAACTTCAAACACCAAGTTTGAAATAATTCCGGTGAATAATGTCGCTAAAATCATCAAAATACCGAATATAGAGAGGTACCGTTATGTGGGGGCTATACGAAAACGTGGACCTGCACACACAATTTTATGTCTTAGGCTGTAGTATTCATTTCGAACTTCAAATGCCAAATTTGAAACAATAACGGTAAATAATGTTGCTTAAATAATCAAAATACCGAATATCGGGAGGTACCGTTATATGGTGGCTACGTGAAAAGTTGGACCTACATAGCCCATTTAAGAACTTAACCTGCTAACTGGCAAAATAAACATATGTGCAAAATTTTAGCCTTCCATCTTAATTCGTTCGGAAGTATATATATATTCTTGATCAGCGTAAAATTCTAAGACGATATAGCACTGTCCGTCCGTCCGTCTGTTGTAATCACGCTACAGTAAAAACGAACTAAGATAGCGAACTAAAATTTTGCACAGATCTGTCTTTTGTCTGCAGGCAGGTCAAGTTCGAAGATGGGCTATATCGCTCCACGATATCGTAGAACCCACATATGACCCCTCGATATTCGGAATTTTGATGATTTTAGCCAAATTTTTCAATGGAATTGACTGAAAATCCACACAAGGAGTTTCTTGTGAGTACTTTACCCCCTGAAAGTGAAATGTCTATATAGGTCCACAATATCATGTATGTGTATTTTTCCGGAACACGATCGCACCTACTCCCTTCTTCTACAGTACACTGCAATATCAAACCCCGTTTACTGTTACACACATACACACCCCATCTGAAAACTAACTATTTTTCCCTTCCTGTTATAGAACCCGGAACGCCGTTCAACTTTAACTCCATCTTGGCATTTGCTATGACAATTTATAAACCCCAAGGAAAAATTATTCGTGTATATGTGGACTAAATTTGACATATTCCTGCTTTTCTCATGGACAGATGAACCTGGCATGTTCATGCGTTGGTAGATCGAGCGATTTGTTTGTTTACGCTCCTGAAGGGAAAACAAGTAAAAAAGCAGCTATGTTCGGCCGGGCCGAATTTTTATACCCTCCACCATTTGGAAGAAACTCCGTCGAGAAACACCGGTTTAATGAAAACCGTTATATGGGGACCATACAAAGTTGCGATCCGGTATAAGTAATTTTTGTCATAGGCTGTAGTAACGGTTCCGAACTTCTAAACGATATCGTGGACCTATATACAGAATTCTATTCTAGGGAATAAAGTACTCACAAGGAACTTCTTGTGTGGATTTTCAGGCAATTCCATTGAAAAACGTGGCTAAAATCATCAAAATACCGAATATCGGGCGTACCGTTATATGGCGGATGTATGATATTTTTGACATATAAAGAAAATTATTTTTCAGGGGGTAAAATACTTATAAAGAACTCTTTGTGTTGTATTTCAGACAATTCCATTGAAAAATGTGGCTAAAATGGACCGTTATATGGGGGCTATACGATATCGTGGACCTATATAGACAATTCTTTTTCAGGTGGTAAAGTACCCACAAGGAACTCCTTGTGTAGAATTTCAGACAAATCCATTGAAAAATTTGACTAAAATCATCAAAATACCGAATATCAGGGCTATACGATATCGTGGACCGATATAGCCCATCTTCGAACCTGAACTGCCTGCAGACAAAAGACAGATCTGTGTAAAATTTTCTATCTTTATTCGTTTTGACTCTAGTGTGATTACAACAGATGGAGATACGGACCGACGGACGCTGATCAAGAATATATGTATATACTTTGTTGGGTCCAAAATTATTATTTCGATGAGTTACTAACGGAATGAAAACTTATTTCTCAAAAACAATTAAATTCGTAAAAAATTCTGTTAAAATCTTAAAAATACCGAATGTAGCTGTCATATTAGGGTCTATCGACAATATGGACCTGCATAGGTAACAATTGTCATAAGCCATTACAATATTCAAATGCGAAACTTAAAAGAATCGAATATCGGGAGATACCGTTGTATGGGGGCTCTACGAAGACGTGTACCTATAGACAATTTCCTGCCTTAAGCTGTACTATCCATTACGAACTTCAAATAGCAAATTTGAAACAATTCCGGTGAAAAATGTCGCTAAAGTCATTAAAATACCAAATATCGGGAGGTACCGTTATAAGGGGACTACACGAAGACGCGGACCTGCATAGACAATTTTCTGTCTTAGGCTGTAGTATCCATTACGAACTTCAAATACCAAATTTGAAACAATTCCGGTGAAAAATGTCGCTAAAATCATCAAAATATCGAATATCGTGAGGTACCATTATGTTTGGGCTATACGAAGACGTGGACCTGCACAGATAGTGTTGTAGTATCCATTACGAACTTCAAATACCAAATTTGAAACAATGCCGGTGAAAAATGTCGCTAAAATCATCAAAATACCGAATATAGGGAGGTACCGTTATATGGGGGCTATACCAAAACGTGGACCTAAATGGCCCATTTTCAAAAGTCCTGCAGACATAACATACATTTGAGTAAAATTTTATCAATATACTTCAGTTCGTTCGGTAGCTAGAGTGATTTCCACAGACGGATAGACGAACAGACATCGCTAAATCGACATATAATTTTATGCTGATCAAGAATATATATACTTTGTTGGGTCCAAATTTATTATTTCGATGAGTTACTAACGGAATGGCAAACTTAATTCTCAAAAACAATTAAATTCGTAAAAAAATTCTGTTAAAATCTTAAAAATACCAAATGTAGCTGTCATATTAGGGTCTATCGACAATATGGGCCTGCATAGGTAACAATTGTCATAAGCCATTATAATATTTAAATGGAGGCTCGTGTACCTGCATAGCCAATTTCCTGCCTTAGGCTGTACTATCCATTACGAACTTCAAAAACCAAATTTGAAACAATTCCGGTGAATAAATTCGCTATAATCATCAAAATACGGAATATCTGGAGGTACCGTTATATGGGGGTTCTACAAAGACGTGGACCTGCACAGACAGTTTTCTGTCTTAGGCTGTAGTATCCATTACGAACTTCAAATACCAAATTTGAAACAATGCAGGTGAAAAATGTCGCTGAAATCATTGAAATACCGAATATCGAGAGGTATCGTTATATAGGGGCTCTACGAAGGCGTGGACCTGCACAAACAATTTTCTGTCTTATGCTGTAGTATCCATTACGAACTTCAAATACCATCGCTTTATGCTGATCAAGAAGATATATACTTTGTGGGGTCTAAAATATGTATTTTGAGGTGTTACAAACGGAATAACAAACTTGATATACCCTCCATACTATGGTGGAGGGTATAAAAATATTAAAATAGATCCCTGATTCTTGGATAGGAAATCCTTCAATATAGTTTTAAAAAATAAACCTCTTGTCCTGGAATTCTTTAGAAAATATCGATTCGATATCGAAGGTCCTTGAATAAAAGTTCACTTCACATGTTACAACGCGGAAAAGTTTGAAAGTCTGAATTGGAGATCTAGTTACATTATACGAAATTCATAATTTATCAAAAATTAAACAATGTTTGAAATGGACTATTATTCCATTTCTATAAAAATTGACCTACAGGAACACAAATTTTATATTGGAATCAGAAGGTTTAAATTAGTTGTATCCCGTTATCACACATCTGATGTAATTACCACCAAAAATTCTAAAACCTAGATTTCTCATCTAATTCTTTTCCTTATTCATTTTTAGTAGCCTCTTTATATTTGTAACAAAAATGGCTGCATTTTTCTTTTTGCCCAAGTCTTATCGTAATGTTATCAGTGGCCGTTAGGCTTTGTTTCTGGTTGTACAGCCGATTGTTGCTGATTGGGTCATCATCGCACGTTTCTGGCGAAATTTTGTACAATTTTCCTTCTC